GGCAAACCCCGGGGGGGGGGGGTACATCATGGACGTTGTGACAACAAAATACGTGCGTGGGTTGGGGAGTGGCGGTGCATGTGCCGCTGTCGAGGACATACGGGATGGGGGTGGGGTGGCTTAGTCTTGGATGCCGGTATACTACTGTAGGCGTTGGGAGAAAATGCGTGTGGATTGCGGGGGGGAAGGGGCGTACCCATGTTTTGCATGCCTTAGGTTGCTAGTTAGACCCTTTGGCCACGCGTCCTCGAGAGATTTTAGTATTATTCCCACAGGACCGATGAAGGGGGGAGGGAGGAGAGCGGACGTGCCACGGTGTCACGGGCGAGGACATGGGGTACGGGGGCGGGGTAACTCGGATCATTGCTCGCCCTAGGCCAGTCAGCAATTGACCGCGCATCCCCCCTTCGAAGGCGAACGAGCGTCGTCTCTCTCGCCTCGAACAACTATTGAAGTACCTCCATCTGTCCTGTGCAAGGTCTCCTTTGGAGTCAGGTATCTATTGAAATACCTCCAGGTGTATACGTATCAAATACCTCATTTTAGAGTGGATAACAACCGCACTTGCGGCGTCACCAGATACCTATCCTGTCCTAGCCAGCATCTCTTCTCGCGGCAAGCATCAATTCGAATACCTCCTCTTTCGCACTCTTCAAGGATCACAACCGAACATAGGGGGTCACAAGCTGCAAAACCAAAATAAGGTCCAAACCAACGCTAACAAGGGACTCAGAGTACAACAGAGTTCAAGACAGCCGCCGGACTGTTGGCAACCCTGCTTCCGTAGGAAAAGGAGGGGGCACGACGACTGGAGCAGGAGGAGGAGGAGGAGAAAGAGGAGGGGGAGGGACCCACCGATTTACAAAGCTCGGTTGCTCCACACGACCAAGGGGCTGCCTATGCCGAAAGGGGGTGAAGACAGTTGTCGAAAGCTAAAATTAAACCTTTGCACGTGACGAATGGGCTTCGCAGCCCTCCTGGGTGTAGAGAAATCCACACTCCAAAATCTACCGCATGCCTGTGCTTCCGCTACAGGTATGTCCTACATACCAATCGCGAAGAACACGTAACTCCTTGACCGTAAACATTCCCAGAACAACATATTACCACAGCACTATTTATTGCAGCAGATATTGTGTAGGCGACAGTACTTTCGATGATACAGAGAGGGTTTTTTGCAACTCGTGTAGCTCAAGATTCCCACACCCGCAATGCCAAGAGGACCAAAGCACGGGGGTTATCACAGCAGTCGGATAGGAGTACTGTACCTTTGTTTCAATAAATCCCAACCTGTCCAGAGGGAACATGGTACGCGTCACTCTAGGCAACACAAACTGCTGCGCACCGGCACTGTCAACACCACCGCGCCACTGCCACCACCACAACGGCAAGCCCAACTACAGCAAGCGCCGTTCCCTTCGTCCCTGACCTACCTTGCCCGCGCTGTAAACACCCACGAGAGATGCCTTGCGTGAACGGCGCATTTCGCTCCTGGCAGGCGTTTTCGTAACCGCCGTGTCGCCTGGTGATAACCGAAAGGTATGTGGGGCGGGGGAGTGGTATTGGGCCACCCACAAAGCAAATTGTTCTTCCATGTGCATGTTTATGCGGCAGGAATAAAAAATATGGGTGGAGGCGTGATGGAGCGGGGGGGG